GCGTTTTCAAATGCATGGCTTATTCAGTGTGTTTCAAAATTATCTGGCAAAATGCAAGGGCAGGTAGAGGGGGTCAAAACAAGCAGATTTTGCAATGAAACATGTGTGTGAAAATAGCACATTGAAGTTGTATAGGTTATTCCCTACACAATTTCAAGCAGTATACACCCTTACACAAACACAGAACTCACAAACATACATTTTATCTTTGGAGCTGTGACTAAAATTGAGAAATTACTCAGAGGTGCAGAGAGCAGTTCTCAAGTAAATTTCTATACACTACCCCATGGATAAAATATATGTTGGTGAGCTTCGTGCTGGTGTAGTGATGCATATTGATCAAAATTTGCACAAGGAGTGATTATTTATTCCAGAATTACTTAGTGCATTTTGTAACACTTTTGTGTCATTTCTGTTATTTTTTAATCACTTGATATACTGAACATAACTGTCTTATTAAGCACAGATTCTAATTACTACAAGTTTTCTGTAGTTTCTATAGAAATTCCTTAAAAACTACAAGCTATGGAAAATACTGAAAAAACTGGAGATTTTACTAAAAAGGGGGCTTTGAAGCGTTACCAATCATAGTTCAGCAAATTCTGACCCTTATCTTTCAAATCAAGCATTCTACAGAAGGGTTTGTTTACCCCTACAGGTCCTGTTTGGTTATATTATGGTGAGAAAACTTAGCACATAATTTCTTGTGTGTGATTAAACTGGTAGTGTTTTAAGTTCGTGAATTATGTCATCTCTGAATAAGAGGTTAAAATTATCAAGCCAGAAATTTAAAGACTTTCTACAGCATTTTGATTCATTAAAGAATCTAAAGTTTCTGCAAATCATGCACTTTGTACTAGCAACAGACTGTGCTTAGTGTAATAAGTGACTGTAAATGGCATGTATTTTAGCGAACACAAATTTAAAGACTTTCTACAGCATTTTGATTCATTAAAGCATCTAAAGTTTCTGCAAATCATGCAATTTGTACTAGCAACAGAGACTTTTCAGCTGTGCTTAGTGTAATAGGTAACAGTAAATGGCATGTATTTTAGCGAACACATAAATAAATTACAGTAGACAGCTCTTAACAGGATCACAATTTATGTCATCATTCAGATGTTTTTATCGAATTACTGAAGCTCTGCCCATTTGTATATGAAAACATGAAAAATACATCATTTATTGTGTTCAACAATTCAATTACTGTTATCATAGTAATATTATCAAATACTTTTTTAACTGGAGTTACCAAAGTTTAAGTCACCAAATAAGGTCAAAAGAGATTACAAAAATAGCCAAATGTCAGAAAAATGTTGCTAAGTAAAGGATCATATCACTAAGCAGCTTGGTTTCGATTCTAATCAACCTTTTAAATTAGGGGGGGAAGCAAACGTAGTTGGCTTAGATTTGGGGTAACTCTGTCCGAAGATGATCACGAGTAAAAAAAAAAAAAATTCTCCAGAATTCCCCACTGCTGATCCTTTAACCCTTTGATGCTCGAGATATTATTTTTATAACTTTTTTAACTAAAAACTCTAGAAATTAAATATTATGATCCTAGAGGCAAACAGTATATGAATTAAAAAAATCTACAGATGCCCATTGTTCTGTGGGTGGTGGTCGCACTGTAAAACCAGCACGCGACTAGGACTTTGAAACTTACTGAGGTAGTAGAGGAAAAAAACTTACCTTTTTCCGTGCATGTTTCCAATAAATGACGAAATTTGTAAATTTTAAAAAAATATATATGTAAGAACTGCATTATAAGTAAATTTTTTACATTATTTTACAAAGTAAATCGTCAGAAAAAATTACAAGATAAACATTTATGTAATTTTTCTATAGCAGTGAAAATATAAATACCTACACAGTAAGGACATTTGGATAAATGAATAAAAAAAGCTCAGTAAACTAACAATAAAAAGAAACTCTTTTTTTTTTTTTTTTTAAATTTCAAAGGAAAAACTTTTGTGTGACAAAGCATGTTTTGTCTTTTTGGTACACACACAGACCTACATTGCACGTTTTGCACAACTATCTTGTTCTATGAAGTTTCTCCCTTGTGTTACAAAATGTACACTGCCTGGATCTAAATTTCACTGGTATGTGTCCAGCATTATTTAATTTCTTTTCATCTGGCACATGAATTTTGTAGTCTTTTATGTAAATGGGAGGGGGGCTTGGTCTTTTTGGTTTTGGTATTAATCATTCATTTCCCCTTCAAATTTATTTTATTCGCATTTCGTCCCAAAATATTTAGAAAATATTTTTAATTTAAATAAAACTTTTATGCAATTTCTATTTTTAATTATAGCAAAGTATATTTACATTAAATTTAAACCACACGAAATAATTTATAAAATCACTTGGGAAACAAGTGTGTTGAGGTCAGAAAAATCTCTAGAAAAGAAAAACTTTTCACTGGGCAGGTGCATGTATTGTTTAGTAATAAAATAACACTGTGGTTTCAAAGCCCCTTATCAATATCAAGGTAAAAATAAACATTCCTATTTGAAAAGCAGCAAATGCCATTGTGAAGAGCAGTGGTTTCAAGGCGCAACCAGCGAGCCTCTAGAGGATTGTGAGCATTGTGACACAATGCTCTAGTGGCTCAGTGGTCATGCCCTGAAACTACAAATGCCATAAACATAGATAGGTTTTTTTTTTTTTTTATATATGCAGTTTAATTATTGCCATTTTTTATTGTTTATAATGGAAATCATGATGTGCGATGAATACCTTTTGAAATTTAAAGTTGTTTGTATTAATAAAGGGAAGTTATTTTGTATCATTGAAAATGAATTTTAAAAGGCATCCGATTTAAAGTACTAAGACCTGAAACATGTTTGATTCTGCAGTCATTTTTTGTTATTTAGAGGTAAAAGATCAATAATCAGTTGCGTTTTACTCAAAAGTTACAGAAAGAAGAGGAGAAAAAAATTCGAAAATTGGTGGTTTTCAGGGTGAGACTTCTGTGTGTCAAAGGGTTTAAAAAAGAAAGAAAAGGAGTTCTCGTGAAAACATGTACACCAAACTAAGGTTGCTTTTTTGACTATTTTGAAATTTCACATTAGCATGTTCTCTTCCAGGGAATGAGGGATGCTGTCCGGGTATTGAGATATAGGGGTCTTGCATGAGTCAAGTAATTTGCAGAAACGTTATGAACAGTTTATAAATGAACTCTTAAGACATTATGAACGGTTCATAAACAAATTTTTGCTGTTCTGTAAATAAAATGCTATATTTCTAGTTTTATTTATATTAAATTATATTCCATTTCTAAGTTACATTCCATATTTTAAAGGATATTTTTTCTCATTGTTCAGTGTTATAAAAATAGCCATGAACAAACATGGTCACATTAAGTGGTGCCTACAGTAGTGCTATAATATCAAATTTCGTCTAAAAGATGATGAATAGGATGTTATAAAAGCCAAATGCAATTTGATTTTTAATGAAACACAACTTTCCAGTTTCAGATCATTCGAAGCCACTTGTAAACACAGTGGTTCCAAATTCTGTCATAATAAAAAAATTTTAAAAAAAATACCTCATTCAAATGTAACCTATGGGAAAAAAATCTATTATTTAAAAAATATCAGACTGTATTTTGATCAATCAAATCTTGAAGCCATTCTCATTGAAAAAGTAAATATACAGGCAAATGAAGAACTGTATAATAGAAGAAGATTATCTGTAGTAAAACCCTTGCCGAACACGCGAGTTACATCACTTATAGATTGTGGACACAGCAAAATCGTGTTCTGCAAAGTTAACTATCTCTGTGAAAAATGTGTTAGGTTTAATGCAGAATAGAATTTTGCTGTAAGAAGAGTTTTTTAATGCCTCTCATAAAGTGTCCTCTGTGCTTTCTTCATCTGTGTCAATATCCATTGCATAATCAGACAGTTCCTATGCCTTTTTCAACAATTAATTTAACTTCTTGTAAATTAAAGGCATTTTTTTTTTTTTTTTTTTTTCCCCCCATTATCACTGCTGTCACTGTCAGTTGGAATTATAAGTTCCAGTTCTTCATTCTTCATTTCTCGATTAATTCCTTGATTTCTTCCATGTATAAAATCCTTTACCAATTCCTTTTGAATTTTGTACGATTTCTTTGGCTTCCTTTTCTGTCGATGGCAGTCTTTTCAAACTGTTAACAGATTCCAGAGCTGATACCAGCAAGCCTTCAGTGTTGATGAATGAATAATTCTTTTTTGAGCCACATATAAATGAAATTGAAATTTCAGCATTGGAAATTGAATGGAAACAATTAAGATAACGCATATGCATGAAATGGTGTTTGGCAGGAATTTACTATAATTCTGACCTTAAACTTGTGAAGTATAGCACTTATAAATTTTTACATTAGTAATTTATAAATGAATTATAAGTATTTTTGTCTCTCTTGAATTTATCTTCCCTCCCTCTTCCCAACCTGTGCAGAAATCAGATTTTAAAACCTCAGCGATATATTTATGGATTCTATTTTTCTCTATGATTATTTGTGATTTAAAATATTTGCTTCAATAATATCACTAGATTTTGATTAGCAGTTTTTTCTGCCTGAGTAATAAAATGGAAACTTCTTATTTAATATATATATATAATTTATAAAAAGTATTTCTGGGTTTATTTATATTTTTGCATTTTAAATTAAGTGTAATTAAATTAATTATATTTAATATTTTATTAAAAATTAGCAAAACATTTAATTAAAATTATGCCTTACATGTACATTCTCAAAGTTTTAAAAATGTTATTCGTGCATTGACTGTTGACAAGTTTAGCTGTAGGTTGGAGTCTATGTAAGCTACAAACATCATGTCCCAGTTTCTGTAGTAATTGCAGTCCATTAATTAAATGTGATAGTTACACTTTGTTATCAAAATGCAATAAAAAATTTTTATTACTGAGACATTCAAAATGCATTTCTTTGACTATTCAGTATAGCCATTGTATGAATGAAAATATACATATTTTTACATGTTTTTCAGATACACCAGATGAGCTTCCAGAATATTTATTCCCTTCTGAAGTATCTTCTGATACTTGTAATCCTAATGAAGAGTCAGGTGACATAATGACTGAAATAATCACAGACTTTATTCAATCACTAAGTGATCAAACTCATAATTCAACTATATCCATGGACGTTGAAATGGAAGGTGTAGAATGAAATCATCAAATTATATAATTTTTTATAGACTGCATAAACTTGTTTACTATAAACAAAACAAATGCCAAATAAATATTATTACTTTTTGTAGTGCTTTTTTACTTATGTTACTATTTATTTGAAATTGATGTTAAGAATTTGCTTAAGTGAGGTATTTAACACTAATCCAAATTTCGTCACTTAAACATGATAATTAGGTTAAAAAAGATAATCATTCTATAGCACAAGGGAAGATAACTCCCTTCTGTTAGAGAAAGGTCATTGAAGATTTTTCAGACTAAAGTAAGATTTGTTGTTTATTAATATGCAAATGCTTATTTCAGTTTTGCCTACAGCAATTACTTATTATCTGAAGTTTTGGAGTAACAACTCATTACATAATAGGTTTTTCTTTATTTTTGAGCTCTTCATATTTCAGTTCTATTTTTGTTCTTCACTTACAGGCATTTTTCCGTAGCTAACATCCAAGCTGTATATTCTTTATCCACTGTGTTATTTATTTATTTATTTTTAAATGTAGACAAAGTTTGAAAATTTAAAAACCCATTTGCAAAATATTGATTAAAAATAACATTTACAATAGTATGGACTGTAAATTAGGATTTGTATTCGATTATGAGAGTGTACATACATTACAATGGTTAAACATGAAGAAAAGAAGACCTGATAAATAGATTCTAGACAAGGGGGATAACAAATTTCCATCTAAACCATCAGCTCACACTATCAGTGTTAAAGCTAGCTAGAGGATGCATAAAAATTTACTACTTTTCAAAAATTTATTAAAAGTGAATGTTATCATAGGAGCATGTGGTTTGCACAAAAAATTTGTGTAATAAAATTGGATTTTTTTAGGAAGGCCAAAAAAAAGAGTTCATGGTTTTGTCAATAAGCAGCATTTCCCTGTAATCCTATCCTTCATCTAACATTTAATGGGAAAAAAATTATTTGAAATTTGTCCTCCACCTTCGAGGTTGCAGTAGCAGATCATTGTTGGCCAAATCCTCTGCAAACTGTATAGCAGCAATAGATGGAGTTTGTACCGCAACATTTGCTAAACAGCGTTTAGAAAAATTACAAGAACCACAAATCTACTTAGTCAGCATTTTGGATTTTGCACTTCTACATGCTGCAGGCACCACTTTAGTTGCAGTCATATGTGGAAGCAATCAAATTCATGAGCTCTGAAAGGGTTATTAATGAGCCACAGTGAATTCTAAATATGTTGAACATATGAAGTGCATTTTTCATTGCACAGAAATGTTAATTTCCACAGATATCAGATCAGGCAAAGGACAATCTGTGCATACACAGAGAAGTTACTAAACTTGCTGCGAGTCAATGTGGGATAGCATGTGCCATCATTGACCCATCCGTTTTGAAGAATCACATGCAACAAGTGGCTAGAAAAAAAGCTTCTTAATAGTAAAATGTTACATGAAAATATACTACCATGTTTTAGAGAATGAAATTTCATACAAGACTGACTTTTATGCAAGATGATACATTTCTTCATATAGCAACTCCTGTGAAATAGTTCCTTATAATATCAATTAGTTGTGTGCGATTTATTAATCACTTGTTCTTACCGCCTGGCCTACTGTATTACAATATTATATATAATTAAATATTATAGTTTTGTTTTACGGAGTCACTTCTATAGGCTCAGATACTGCTTAATGCATTCATGAAAAATGTGATCACACAACTTGCAGAAATGATTTCCTGAATGTTGTGACACAATGAATATTTAATAGTGTAAACAACTACATTATGAGGTAATTGTATGGCATTTAAGCAAGCTTGTTTTATTAAATGTCACCTGAAATATAGGAAGATATACAATGACATCTATCGATGAAATTATGAACTAAAACCTTTCTTTGTTGGCAAAAATGAAATGTGATTTCATGGCATGAATTTTGGTGCAAACTGCATCCTCCTATGACAACTCGCATAAGTTTTTAAGCATTTTGGTATATCTTTTAAGGAAATTTGAAAATCCTCCTATATGTCACTTAAAAATATATAAATAGCTTTGTTGTTGTTGTTGTTATTGTTAATTTAAAATAATAGTTCTATCTTGAGCAACATCCGGATACTGCTGTAACAATACTGAAACAACAAAATACTGCTGTTCTTTTACGAACTTGACAGCAGAGACATAATTATTGCATCTTCAAAAGTTGGCAGAAGTGGATGATCCTTAGCAAAGTTTAATGTTATAGCTAATGAAAGCCTAATGTTGAAGGCACACATGATTCAGAATATTATTTGAATGCTGTAGCTAGCAATAAGCAAAAATAGAACTGGAATTAAAACTCTTAACTTTTTGTGAATATTATAAAGACTATGTGTCCAAAGATGATTAAATAATGATATATTTTATTTTACAGCAATAAAGAAAAAAGAAAAACAAGCACTAATATATTTCGTAGCTTATATATACTGAGAGACTTGTTATTAAAGAGATAGTTATTTGAGAGTGCTTAATGGGAAGTCTATTTTTGCATCTTAAGAGTGATAGATTCACAGTTCATCACTATTCGTTTGGATGAGCAGTTCTACAATTAACAGGACTGGAATTTTTTATAGTCCACCAAATTTAGATTTACTTGATAGAGGTAATGAGGAAATTCTACTGAGGACAGACAGGTTTGATATCGAAAATACCTAAATTTAGTTCTATCAGTTATCAACAAGTTATCAAGTATCCACCACATATATAACTTTTAACCAATTATCCACAAGTAAAATATAAAGGGGGAAAGAGGTTTTTCAATACATAATATTTGGATTGGATTTATCAAATTACAACAATGCACACTAAGCTATCCAAAGGGAAGAAAGCTTTTATGAAGGACTTTTTCTGGCTCACATTCATGTTATACATAGGGAAAACCACAAAATGCCCAAGTAGTTAAACTGTATAGTTGGATTTGAATTCTGGCCAAAGTACTATCTTCTGAAGTCTTACTCATTTAGCCATTAGTGGAGCTCAAATTTGAATATATAGCATTTTATTTCTAATCTGAACATAAGCTTATTGGTTTGACAAGTATTACTAACAGTAGTACTGTAAAGGATGTGCCATTGTTCTTATCCTAACTGCATGCTTAGTTTTGTCTTCAATAAAAGTGCAATTATTTTAATTCCATAACAACAGAAATGACCTCTGATGAAATATACAGAAGAAAAATAACAAATGTTTTTTTCATTCCTCAACCAAGCTTTTGTTATTTGAATTTTATTTATATTTTAAATAAGTTATCATACAGAAAATTTTTAATACTTGTAAAAGTGTATGAAAAATAAAGAATTATTATCAACAGCTAACTTATTCAGTGCAAGTACTGTGACACTGTGTAGATGAAAATTGTGATGTAACACCACTGGCCAGCCCTATTTGTTTTTATATGTAAAGTAAATCATTTTACCACGAAAGCATTCATAGAAAAGTGCTCTACAAAAGAATTATGTGATGTCTGTGTATGACAAAATAAAAAATATTCAATGTATTTTATTACTGATAAAAATCACTTTTTCTTTAAAGAAACATATTGAATTTGTTGCCTGTTGCACTGCTGGGGATCCTATAAAACCAGTGTTGCTGAAAACATATTGCCTGGAAAGAATCACCATATCATTATAAATGTAGTCAATCAATGAGGAATGTGCACTTTTTTATGGACAAGTAACATTAAGTAAGATCACGTGTGGTTTCTTCTCATCAGCATATATAAATGATTCTCTCTTTCAGCATATATAAACGATATTCAAAATGCATCATATAACATACATAAGCCATGCATTATATTGATTTGTGCAACCTGAATGCTATAAAAATTAAAATATACAGTGGATGGACAAAAATATGGAAACACCTTGTGAAATGCATGTTTGAAAAGAAAGATTGATTTTAATGAAATATGTAGGTGGCTCTAGCGTTTTTGACTACTGATGCCACCTATACAACTTCGTAAATGTGCTAAACAGTTCAGTTGTTGTCGGAGTACTGTTATGTGAGGTTGTCATTGCATTATGTCAGAGTTAACAGACTTCGAACGTGGGCAAATTGTTGGACACGTATGGTAGGTGCTTCCGTAAGCAAGGTAGCCGAGTGTTGTTTAGTGTTTCAAGAGGTACTGTATCGAAGATTTATTCCGCATATTTGAAAAGCGGAAAAACATCATCTGCTAAATCACAGCGCGGACGAAAGTGTGTCCTGAGTGATTGTGACAAGACGATCATTAAGGGCAATTGTGACAAAAAATAGGAAGACCACAGCTGCAAAAGTTACTGCTGAAATTAATGTTGTGTTACCGAACCCTGTGAGTACCAAAACAATTAGAAGGGAGCTTCATAAACAGGGAATTGTTGGCCGTGCTGCAATTGAGAAGCCACTCATCAGTGATGCTAATGCCCGTAACAGGAAAAGGTGGTGTTTAAGTCATAAAGCCTGGACTATAGAGCAGTAGAAGCGAATAATATGGTCTGACGAGTCTTCTTTCACAGTGTTTCCCACTTCTGGCCGAGTTTACGTCTGGAGAACGCCATCTCAATCCTATAATACAGACTGCTTGTTGCCAAGAGTGAAACATGGCGGGGGTTCTGTTATGGTTTGGGCAGCCATATCGTGGTTCTCTGCTAGCCCCATGATAACTGTGTCAGGGCACATGACTGCCAAGACTTATGTGAACATTTTGGCCGATCAAGTTCATCCCATGGTACAAACTTTGTTCCCTCGATGGTGATGGTGTCTTCCAAGACAACAAAAACCCCTGTTTACACCGCTCACATTGCCCAGGACTGGTTTTCTGAGCACGAGGATGAGTTGTCCCAGCTCCCCTGGCCACCACAGTCACCAGACCTGAATATTATCGAACCTTTGTGGTCTACATTGGAACGGAAAGTGTGTTCTCGTTATCCCCCGCCAACATCGTTATCTGAACTTGCCACCGTTTTGCAGGAAGAATGGTATAATATTCCCTTGGCAAACATACAGGAACTGTATTTATCCATTCCGAGAAGACAGCAAGCTGTTTGGACGCGAACGGGTTTCCTACACCATATTAAGCAAAGAAAC